ATTGAAGAAAAACTTTGATCAAATATCACCTAGACTCCAAAGGTTGTCATTGTATTTATTAAATTATAAATTTGAATTGAAGTTCATCTCCCAGGAAAGAGTATGATACCTGCTGATACCCTTTCTAGACATTTCTTGCCCCAGGAACAAATGGAAGATAAAGAATTAGACTTATGTACTCAAACGTTTGTTTTAATCAAAGACCAGAGTTGAGATCAAAGACCAGAGATTAACGAGACTACAGGAGGATACTTTAAATGATAAAGAATGCTGTTTGCTGAAGCAATATATTTTAACAGGTTGGCCCTTACACAAAAAGAACTTGCCTTCCAACCTCAAACCTTATTGGGAATTGAAAGAAGAACTTCATGAATGGCAAAACTTGATTTGCAGAGGTAATAAACTTCTAATACCAAAAACCCAAAGAAGCGATATTTTAAAGATACTCCATGCTTCACATCAAGGTATAAACAATACAATTGCATTAGCCAAAAGATCCATTTACTGGCCTGGAATGAATAAAGAAATTGAAGAATTAATCAATAACTGTTCAATTTGTCAACAAACATCAAGAGCAAATCTTAAAGAACCTATGCTTCCACATCAAGTATCTGATTATCCATGGCAAAAGGTAGGGATCGACATTTTTCAAATAGAAAGCTTAAAATATCTCCTAATAGTGGACTACTTCAGCAAATACCCAGAAATATATCAACTCCAAGATATGACAACAGACACCATAATAAGGATATTAAAGAGAACTTTCTCGAACTTTGGAATTCCTGAAACTTTGGTGAGTGATAATGGGCCTCCATTCTTTTCAAAGGAGTTCTAGAACTTTACTAGAACTTGGAATATAGTCCATGTAACATCTAGTCCTTACCATGCACAGAGTAACGGGATGGTAGAACGAACAGTTCAAACTTTAAAGAAATTGATAAAGAGATGTGGGGAAGAAAGTACAGACCCCTACTTAGCTCTTCTCAACTTACGAAACACACCACACAATAATTTGCCATCACCTGCACAAATTCTGATGTCAAGGAATTTAAGGTCTATAATACCTTCGAAGACATCCCAGTTCGTGCCCTCTATGATTAACAAAGAGGCGATCCAGAAGCAGCTAGTAGATAATCAAGTTAAAATGAAAAACTATTACGATAGACACACTAGACCGGCAGACCCATTATCTATCAAGGATAGAGTTTGGTTTCAAAAAGATAAAAGATGGATCCCAGGCCAGATAACAAACCAAGCCCATGAACCCCGATCCTTCTACGTGAAAGATCAAGATGGCAATGAATATAGAAGAAATAGTATTCACATCCGCGAGGATAAACGGAATGAAACAACCCACACAGATTGGGAGAAACCACTAGAACTGAGCCAGGAACAAGCTAATTTGCAAGACCTGGAAGAATCCACATCACAGCATTCTACACAGCCTACATCTTCTGGACAACTCTCTTCTCCTGGATCCCCAAAGAACGTGACCACCACAGGACCCCCAGAGAACTGGACCTATGGTTCCCCAAAGAACCTGATCACCACTAGATCTGGTAGGGTGGTTCGACCCCCACGCAGATTGAACCTTTGATGGTTAAAGAAGGGACATGTAATATATATTAATCTTCAGTTTGGCAACGCCAACTATTTGTCATCATCACTTAATAGCAATCAGAATTTGCATGTAACTTGAGAAATAAACAATAAGTTTTGTTTACTGCGTCTTATTAAATTTCCATAGAGTATAAAGAATATAGCTGTGTAAACGAACAACATAACACTATGTACTCCTTATATATATATTTTTTGTAGTTTTATAATAATATATCAGTGTGTCACCACTACTCTCCCCATTATCTTTATTTTTATTCTAGTAACTAATTTGTGCCCCAAATTATTTCCCTTTTAATAGGTTTGCTAGCTTTTCGCTCCATTTTATTTCACTCCCCTAATCAAACCTTTCTCACCGGGGGCACATTCTATCGTAATTTAAACAATGTGATATGTAAGTAATAAAGTATGACGTCTTTTTAGTCGTTTCAAAGTGACACCAGCCTACCACCGGACACCCGGGGGATCCAGAGAGGGACAAAAAGGGCGTTGGCCCGGATGTTGACAGTTAGTTAGGTTACATTGGATATTTTCGGACAGGGCCCGCTCAGTGCTAGGTCTCACTGCGGCCCTCGTGGCCGCAGTTTTGGCTCCTCTCTGCCTCCGCGGTTTCATGCAGGACCCCGAGCTTTCCTCAGTTAATCCTCAACTTTCCCCTGGTCCTGGTGCCACGTGAGACGTACTAGGAGAGCGTCTTTTGATACCAAACTTTGTCCTTACTGTCCCGTGCGGACTTCCCACTCTGCACGCCTTGCCACTCAACCCCGACTGCTTCCAACTCACTTGTTGGTTTACCCGGGTTTACGACATACGCGTATATATTAAAACTGTTATTCAGCAAATAGCATTCCAGAGCTTGTTGTTATTTTTGAGTTGAAAGCAAAACAGATTGCATTATAAAATAAACATTATTAAAAATTCAATAATTTGTTATTTAAATTAATATTTATGATTCTTAAAGAGCAAAATTTAATTAATAACAAATAAAATAAAGCTTTTGGCTCCACATATCAACTCTTCTTGTCAAAAATAAAGCGCTAGCTAATGTAATGATGTTTACTTAAAAAATGCTTACGTAACATTTTCTGAATTATTACTGTATATACCAATTTATAGAAAAAATGGTTATTCTGCAAGAACTATGGGTGATGGAAAAATTCTGGTTTCATTTTTGAATTCAGCATGAAAAGTTACATTAGAATCAACATCAGGTTTTCTCCGGCAAAAAAAAAGTTTTTTTTTTTTTTGTAGACCTGTGTTATCTACAGAAATCGGAGAATAACATCAATCTTTTCTCAAGTTGGATCCCTCTTCTGTGGTACGTCTTTTAACTGTGTTATTTTCCAGAATTTGTGAAAAGCCAATGCATTGGTCCCGCTTTTCACTACTTTTGCCAATAAAACATATGGCGAATTGTTTTCATAACCAATCTTCTGGCGGAGAATTACTCTCTCATCTTCCAAAGTGGGACAGTAAAACGTGGGCTATCCAGGTGTTATCTGGGCTGTGTGCAATCTGGTCGCTCCCATTCTGTCATTGGCGACCACTCAATCATCAAAGCCATTAATCCTGGAAGATTGCAGATATATGTTCGGACACTGAGTGTTGTGGTGGCTCATTCTATTTAACCGCCACCTTTACGTTTTTTAAATATTATTATTATCTATTGTACATGCGATACAGGCCATGATAATCATGGTGGGTAGAAGTTGGCGACTGCTTTTAATGTAAGTAAGTGCACCACATGTGAAAAGCAGTTCGAAATGTGCCGGAGCCCTTTTTGGTTACTTGCACTCGCTGGTAGGGTTGGACTTTTGCAAGAATTGGGGCCATTGGATCATTCTTTTTTTTTTTAATTAGAAAAAAGTGTCCAATGCGGGATACGATCCCGGGTCGTAGCGGTCGAAAACCCACGGTTTAGATAATCCTTCCACCGACCTCTCCTTTACGTTTTGAATTAGGGTGATAAACCAAAGTTTTAATGTATTTTTAAAGAGAGAGAGGTGCCACTTAGGGCCTCCAATCCCGGTACATATTTTCAATCCCGGGATTCGGGATTGCTTTTTTCTCAATCCCGGAATCCCGGGATTGAAAAACATTTTCGTTTTTCTACGCCAAGAGGTATATCGTTTCGTTCGTTATATTTTAATTTTTTTCTTTTATATAGTGCCAATGACGTGGCACTTACTTTGATTAAAACAACCTGAAAGCCATATATTTTGCGCCTGCTTATGAACTAAATCATTGCTTTTAGGTTACAGTTTGAAATTATCTGTCAATTACTGTACACACATCTGGAAAAAAATTACTGTTCTTGGAACTCTTAGACCAGATCTCTTAATGCAGTGTTGGGCAGTAATCCATTCAAAGTAATACATTACCTTGTAATTACGATTACTTTGCAAAAAAAAAAATTAATTGCATTAGAATGTAAACATAATTACTCGTTATTCTATATATAATGATAGCAATTGTGATTAAAATTACGTGCGTTCATGATGACCCATGCATACAGAGTACAGGTTGGAAAGTATAAACATAAAGCAACACTTAAAGTTTCACCGCATAAGTTTCTTTTTGTGAAAAATCAATATTAATTTCAAAGAGAAATATGTACTATTTCTAACTTTTTGGATGACGTATGAAAAGGTTGAATATATGAAGAGTAATGGTCTATATATGATTGGATGACGTATGAAAGGGTGAAAACATGAAGAGTAATGGCGAACGGAAAAATAAAAGTGTCCAGGGGCGGGAATCGAACCCACAACCTTCTGCTTACCGGGCAGGTGCCATGTCCACTAGGCTACCCTGGACGTATTTTTCCGCTCGTAACTAATACTTAAAGTAACTTATATTACATTATAAAGGACTGCGGCGTATGATTATAAAGCAACACTTAAAGTTTCACCGCATAAGTTTCTTTTTTGTGAAAAATCAATATTAATTTCAAAGAGAAATATGTACTATTTCTAACTTTTTGGATGACGTATGAAAAGGTTGAATATATGAAGAGTAATGGTCTATATATGATTGGATGACGTATGAAAGGGTGAAAACATGAAGAGTAATGGCGAACGGAAAAATAAGTGTCCAGGGGCGGGAATCGAACCCACAACCTTCTGCTTACCGGGCAGGTGCCATGTCCACTAGGCTACCCTGGACGTATTTTTCCGCTCGTAACTAATACTTAAAGTAACTTATATTACATTATAAAGGACTGCGGCGTATGATTATAAAGCAACACTTAAAGTTTCACCGCATAAGTTTCTTTTTTGTGAAAAATCAATATTAATTTCAAAGAGAAATATGTACTATTTCTAACTTTTTGGATGACGTATGAAAAGGTTGAATATATGAAGAGTAATGGTCTATATATTATTGTGGACTAGTGGACATGGCACCTGCCCGGTAAGCAGAAGGTTGTGGGTTCGATTCCCGCCCCTGGACACTTTTATTTTTCCGTTCGCCATTACTCTTCATGTTTTCACCCTTTCATACGTCATCCAATCATATATAGACCATTACTCTTCATATATTCAACCTTTTCATACGTCATCCAAAAAGTTAGAAATAGTACATATTTCTCTTTGAAATTAATATTGATTTTTCACAAAAAAGAAACTTATGCGGTGAAACTTTAAGTGTTGCTTTATAATCATACGCCGCAGTCCTTTATAATGTAATATAAGTTACTTTAAGTATTAGTTACGAGCGGAAAAATACGTCCAGGGTAGCCTAGTGGACATGGCACCTGCCCGGTAAGCAGAAGGTTGTGGGTTCGATTCCCGCCCCTGGACACTTTTATTTTTCCGTTCGCCATTACTCTTCATGTTTTCACCCTTTCATACGTCATCCAATCATATATAGACCATTACTCTTCATTTATTCAACCTTTTCATACGTCATCCAAAAAGTTAGAAATAGTACATATTTCTCTTTGAAATTAATATTGATTTTTCACAAAAAAGAAACTTATGCGGTGAAACTTTAAGTGTTGCTTTATAATCATACGCCGCAGTCCTTTATAATGTAGTATAAACATAGATAAAAAAAATATTATAAAACAATTTGGAGCCCAGATAAGAGGTTAGTGGCGGGTTCATGTTACACGCAGGTCCGCCACAAAAATAAAGGGATGCCGCTACTATCTAAGAAGCCACTATTTGCATGTCAACAAAAACTGGGGCCCCCTCCATGTATACTGCTGCATACTCTCATTCTAGAGGCTGCCATTTTGGAAAGATCTTGCAGAATAACCCTTCGTTATTAGTGGATGAAAATAATTTCAAATCTTTCAGAAAAAAATACCCGAAATGCAGCTTTATAAACAAAACATCAAAAGTGTTGTTGGACACCAGCGCTGCCACTCATGTATAGCACGTGACCGGAAGGATGACGTCGGCACCGCCCCTCCAACTGACTGTTATGGTTTAGCCTGACAACGCTGTTGCTTGTTTACCGGAGGATGTAACCTCTTTGTTTCCTCTCTTCCCTTTTTAATCTTTATATAACCTATGCTTTAATAAATTAGTTAGTGCAAGGCTCTTGTCCTAAGTGTAACCAAGTACCTTGTCTACACCCCTACAAGAAAAGATTATGAGACTGATTGGAGCTGCCTGAAGCATTGAACGGTAAGCCTATTCTTTTGTTCTCTCTCCCCCCTTCAGTGGACGCCATCTTATAATGGAAGCTAACGAAAGTTTAACGAAAATTACCAAGCTAAATGGATTAAACTATTCCTCATGGAGCTTCCAAATTAAGCTCATTCTGATGGACAATGACTTATGGTCAATTGTTGACCCAGGCGAAGTCAAACCCGAGGGAGGGGATGTTGGTCTAATCAACAAATTTAATACGAGGCAGAATAAGGCTTTAGCAAAGATATGTCTCTCTATTGGTGAGGAGCAGCAAAACCATATCAGACATCTAAATTCCCCCAAAGAAGTTTGGGATGAATTACAAAGACTTTATGCACCCAGGGATAGCAAACACAGAATTCTCCAACTGCGTCGAAAGTTGTACTACCAGAAATTCTGTCAACATGCGAACATGGATGCCTATTTGGGAAGCATAAATCTAATAGTGAGTGAACTCACAGGTGTAGGGGATAAAATTGAAGACGGTGATCTAAGCATGCTAATTCTTTGTGGAATGCCCGAGGACTGGGATAATGTTATATCAACAATGTGTAACTTACCAGAGTCAGAGTTCACCAGTGCCAACATCAGACGTAAATTGTTAGCTGAGGCAGACCGCCGGTATGCTACAACAAATGAAGGGATGGGTGCACTGTCAGTCAGGAACTCTAACAAGAAACAATTCCCTCATGAACATCAAGGTTCTTAAACTGTTAGAAAATGTTTCGGATGTGGGAAAACAGGGCATATTGCACGGGACTGTTTCAAACTGAAAAAGAATAACGGTAAACAACAGGAAAAGGGAGCGATACATCAACATCACGAAGCAATGAACTTGTCTGTGATGTATAATGCAGCAGTTGTATCAGAAGAGGATACGTGGGTAATTGACTCAGGTGCCACGCATCATATGACTCCGAACAGAAGGTATTTTTCCACGTTGAATGACGAGAATGTAGGACAAGTGGCCACCATTGATGGTACATCACATTCAAACATAGGAAGAAGTAATGCTCAAGTAGATCTGATCAACAATTCTGGACAACTTAGAAGCATAGTTGCTCAGAATGCAATGTTCGTACCTGGGATCAGACATGGTGTACTCTCTGTTCTACAAATTGTGGAAAATGGTCATGAGGTTATCTTCGACAAGAAGGGATGTCATATCTACAACAATGATCATAACTTGATGATCAGAGCAGAGAAGAGAGGAAGGCTCTATCTCGTCAGGACTGCTCCGTCCAGATTTCCAGAATCAGGAGAATGTTCAAATTCCATTGCTCAAACCAACAATTTTCGTAAATTCCCACTAAATGTATGGCATCAGAGACTCATGCATATCAACTATGACACCATAGTAGACATGATGAAAAGAGAAGTTGCCATTGGTTTGAACTGTCAGGCTGAAAAACCTGATAAGTGCTCTGATTGTATGATTGGAAAATCGACAAAAAGACCTTTCCTGAATTTGAGATCTACCAAGGAAACTCAGACACTAGCCCTTGTTCACTGTGATCTAATGGGACCGTTCAACATTGAGAGCTGGGGTGGATCAAGATTTGTCTTGACCATCATTGATGACGCATCAAGATATACAAGGGTATATTTCCTCAAAAGGAAGGGCGATACTCTAGAAAAATTCAAGGAATGGATGAAAGAAGCTGAAAATCAGACGGGATTTTCTCTCAAGAGGATCCGTACAGATAACGGACTAGAGTTCTGTTCATCTCCTTGGGATATTTTCACGAAGGCCCATGGTATAGTACATGAACGCACCATGGTCTACACACCTGAACAGAATGGTGTCGCCGAACGCATGAATAGGACTTTGCTGAACTTAGTGAGGAGTACTGTGAACAGTTGCAATCTGCCAACCGCCTCTTGGGCAGAGCTCACCAACACAGCAGCATACTTGAGAAATCGTGTTACAAACAGACACAATGAAGAGAAAACGCCTTTTGAATTGTGGTTTGGAAAAAGACCTGCTCTGCAACATCTGAGAGCAATCGGCTCTGAAACCTTTGTTCATGTTCCAAAACAAAGAAGGAATTCGAAGCTTCAGCCAAGAGCCACTAAAGGAATTCTCGTGGGTTATTCTCTACAGGGACGAGGTTGGAGAATCTGGATTCCTGAAAAACGCCAAGTGGTGGAATCTAGAAATTGTGTATTCAAAGAAGAAATTCTCTATAAACAGCTCAAAAGAGAAAGGGATACTCTACCATCTGTCCATTTCTCCTCGAAAGAGGCCTCCTTTCAAGAAGAAAGTAATGCAGATCAACCAGTAGACCGAGAAACTGAAGAACTGATTGGAACTACAGGTGGAATAGATCAGCTATCTGAGACTCTCCCAGAGAACCTGAGAAGCCAGCATGAAAAGTACTGTAGAGCGCTGATGGACTATCGGAATAAACGTCCAGCTGAAGTTTATCCGGGAGGGGATTTGTTGGACACCAGCGCTGCCACTCATGTATAGCACGTGACCGGAAGGATGACGTCGGCACCGCCCCTCCAACTGACTGTTATGGTTTAGCCTGACAACGCTGTTGCTTGTTTACCGAGGATGTAACCTCTTTGTTTCCTCTCTTCCCTTTTTAATCTTTATATAACCTATGCTTTAATAAATTAGTTAGTGCAAGGCTCTTGTCCTAAGTGTAACCAAGTACCTTGTCTACACCCCTACAAGAAGTGTGCTATCTCATCATCTGTTTGATTACCAAAATGCTAGATAAGAAAAATATATTTTTGCGCTGGTTTTCATGCACAAACCAGTAATCCCGGGATTTTTCGAGCAGAATCCCGGGATTTCGGGATCATTATTTGGCTCCGGGATCCCGGGATTGGAGGCCCTAGTGCCACTTCTGGTACAGGAATACCATCTCCCCGCAACTTTAAGTTGTAAAAAATGTATAGCAATTGATTTGAATCTCTTGGATATATGTTTCTACTAGAAAACATCCAATCCACCTATATATAGATTCATAAACGTATATAAATAAATATTGTTATATGCGTTTAAATATATTTTTGAAACATAATATTTTTGAAAAAATTATTAAATTATAAATGAGATATTTTCTTCAAATATATTGTCGCGGTTCTTTGCGACGATGCGCTTCTTCCCTTCGTGGTTCACCCACTTAGGTACCCGTTGCTCTTCCCTGCAGCTTTTCCCCGCAGGCCACCCAGAGACGTTCGGCAGGATGTTCGGCCAGGCTTCAACCCGGCGTTGAGGCTTGTTTTTCTCTCTTCGGAACACCTCGGAACTGCGTGCGGCTCGCGCCGGCTGATACTGTATCTTCGAGGAAACGTGGATCTTATAAACATTATTTTACATCCTGGGGCCAACACAAAAGCGTATTTACAGTTAACCTCCCCAGGAAACGGGACCACAGCAGTCGGCGACTCCCACATCAGCCAGCAAGGGAATCAGGCGAAAACGCCATCTATTGGTGGAGGTTGTAATCATTTGGAGGCCTTACACGTAACAATATATTAATATTGAAATGCCAAGTTTTTTACAACGTCATTGGAATATTATATTACTAAATCCTCAAGTTGAATATTACATTTATTATACTTGGAACACATTTTAGCATTTTTACAATTTATAAATGTAATTTCAAAAGATGCCGCTAGAGGCGCTGCTTGCGATTGAAAGTAGAAAATTTGCAAATAAAATCGCAACGAATATTTATTTCAAATCAAATTCAAACCAGAAACCTTCCCAGTAGTATAGTAAATAACTTCCTAAAGTTTCACGGCGATTGGATAATCTTACCTTTTAAAAACATTCACGTATAAACAAACTAAC